TTCACAGTGGTTGTTTTGCATATTCTGAAATCACCTGTTTACTGTGATCTTATTATTTTATATATATATATATATATATATAATATATATATATATATATATATATATATATATATATATATATATGTATATATATATATATATATATATATATATATATATATATATATATATATATATATATATATATATATATATATGCTGTTAGAGAGGAAAGTATCCCCAATTTGCCATCTCAGTATACCTTACAGTATACAACTTGTAGGACGGTCTTCCCACTCTTGGTAAACCCCACAATATGTATTTATTTTGATATCGGGCATCAGTCTTCCTTCCCTTTTCTCATTCCTCTTCTCACCTCTACTCTCTCCTTTTTCATCCTCTCTTGCCTCTTCCTCTCCCTTATTTCCCCACCCCTCTCTCCTCATTCTTTCTCTTTCACCCCTTTCTCTCGCTCATCCTTTCTCTATCACCCCTTTTTCTCTCTCATTCCTCCTCTCTCATACCTTCTTCTTCTTCATTCTTTCTCTCGCATATCTCCCTCCACCTCATTCTTCCTCTCTCACTTATTCCTTCCCTCATTCGTCCTCTCTCGCTTATTCCTCCCCTCATTTTTTCTCTCCTTCATCTTCCTCTCACCATTCCTTTTCTTTATTCTTCTCTTTTTTCCTTTTCTCTTCCTTTATCACTGACCTCTCTTCCTCCATCATACTTTCCCCTCTAGCCTCTTCCCTCTCTGGTTCTCCTAATATCCTCCCTCTCGCCTCCCTTTCACTACCCTCTTCTGAAATCTGAACAAAAACAAACACCTCCATTGAAAATAGAAAGTTTAATTATAGACAACACTCTCCCTTTGAACTTGACGAGTCAAGTTCATAATATGAACATATTTACATAACTCTACGTAAACTGTACACCAGTTTTTAAAATAACATCGAGTGATCGTATAGTGAATTCAGAACGGTGGATCGAACTCTCAGTTCGGGGTACGATACCGGTCTACTCGTTAGTCCTACGGAGGTTCGATTCTCGGTAGTGAGGAAGAATCGGCTTAAAACTGGATACGGTAATGGTCTTCGGGGACTAAACGCTCCTTAATTTCAATAGAAAGTCTCGTTTAACAAGCGAACACACAGACACTACAACAAGAACTTCAACAAGATTCCTCGCCCGTGGTATGGTTTGTTTGCAATCATGTCATTACGATTCGTGAGTCATGACCCAACAACCACTGTGTGACCCTAACAACCACTGTGTGACCCTAACAACCACTGTGTGACCTAACCACCATTGCGTGACCTAACAACCACTGTGTGACCCCAATAACCACTGTGTGACCTAACAACCACTGCATGACCCCAACAACCACTGTGTGACCTAACAACCACCGTGTGACCCCAACAACCACTGTGTGACCTAACAACCACTGTGACCCCAACAACCACTGTGTGACCTAACAACCACTATGTGACCTAACCACCACTGTGTGACCTAACAACCACTGTGTGACCCCAATAACCACTGTGTGACCTAACAACCACTGTATGACCCCAACAACTACTGTGTGACCTGACAACCACCGTGTGACCCCAGCAACCACTGTGTGACCTAACAACCACTGTGACCCCAACAACCACTGTCTGCCCTAACAACCAGTGTGACCCTAACAACCACTGTGTGACCTAACAACCACTGTGACCCCAACAACAACTGTTTGACCTAACAACCACTGTGTGACCTAACAACCACTGTGTGACCCTAACAACCACTGTGTGACCTAACAACCATTGTATGACCTAACAACCACTGTATGACCCCAACAACCACTGTGTGACCTAGCAACTACTGTGTGACTCAACAACCACTGTGTGACCCCAACAACCACTTTATGACCCCAACAACCACTGTGTGACCTGACAACCACTTTGTGACCTAACAACCACTGTATGATTTTAACAACCACTGTGTGACCTAACAAACACTGTGACCCCAACAACCACTGTGTGACCTAACCACCACTGTGTGACCCCAACAACCACTGTGTGACCTAACAGCCACTTTGTGACCTAACAACCACTGTATGACTAGCAACCACTGTGTGACCTGACAACCACTGTGTGACCTAAAAACCACTGTATGACTCAGCGACCACTGTGTGACTCCAACAACCACTGTGTGACTCCAACAACCACTGTGTGAACCCAACAACCACTGTATGACCCAACAAACACTGTGGCCCAACAACCACTGTATGACCCCAACAACCACTGTGTGACCTAACAACCACTGTATGACTAGCAACCACTGTGTGATCTGACAACCACTGTGTGACCTGACAACCACTGTGTGACCTAACAACCACTGTATGACTCAGCAACCACTGTGTGACTCCAGCAACCACTATGTGACTCCAACAACCACTGTGTGACTCAAACAACTACTGTGTGACTCCAACAACCACTGTGTGACCCCAACAACTACTGTGTGACCCCAACAACCA